TTTTGTCCCACTCCTCTTTGCAGATCTTCTCCAAGTTATTAAGGTTTCGAGGCTGACGTTTGGCAACTCGAACCTTCAGCTCCCTCCACAGATTTTCTATGGGATTAAGGTCTGGAGACTGGCTAGGCCACTCCAGGACCTTAATGTGCTTCTTCTTGAGCCACTCCTTTGTTGCCTTGGCCGCGTGTTTTGGGTGATTGTCATGCTGGAATACCCATCCATGACCCATTTTCAATGCCCTGGCTGAGGGAAGGAGGTTCTCACTCAAGATTTGACGGTACATGGCGCCGTCCATCGTCCCTTTGATGGGGTGAAGTTGTCCTGTCCCCTTTGCAGAAAAACACCCCCAAAGCATAATGTTTCCACCTCCATGTTTGACGGTGGGGATGGTGTTCTTGGCGTCATAGGCAGCATTCCTCCTCCTCCAAACACGGCGAGTTGAGTTGATGCCAAAGAGCTCGATTTTGGTCTCATCTGACCACAACACTTTCACCCAGTTCTCCTCTGAATCATTCAGATGTTCATTGGCAAACTTCAGATGGCCCTGTATATGTGCTTTCTTGAGCAGGGGGACCTTGCGGGCGCTGCAGGATTTCAGTCCTTCACGGCGTAGTGTGTTACCAATTGTTTTCTTGGTGACTATGGTCCCAGCTGCCTTGAGATCATTGACAATATCCTCCCGTGTAGTTCTGGGCTAATTCCTCACCGTTCTCATGATCATTGCAACTCCACGAGGTGAGATCTTGCATGGAGCCCCAGGCCGAGGCAGATTGACAGTTATTTTGTGTTTCTTCCATTTGCGAATAATCGCACCAACTGTTGTCACCTTCTCACCAAGCTGCTTGGCGATGGTCTTGTAGCCCATTCCAGCCTTGTGTAGGTCAATTTATAACATTTTTGACATGCGTTTTTCTGGATTTTGTTGTTGTTATTCTGTCTCTCACTGTTCAAATAAACCTACCATTAAAATTATAGACTGATCATGTCTTTGTCAGTGGGCAAACATACAAAATCAGCAGGGGATCAAATACTTTTTTCCCTCACTGTATTGGGGAAACAGGTTTCTTTCTTACACTGATTGCTGACAGTAGGCCTAAACACACACACAGACGGCATAACAAACGGCACTTGCTTACAACCCAGGAGAGTTGACAAACACACACCCACAGGTGACACAAGAATGCCACTGGATTTGTTCATTTTTGTTTATTGACGTCACGTCATTGTCATTAACCACATTTTCCATTTAACAGTCCTCATAAAAAAACTGAAAGCACACAAAGCTATGATGTCACCAATCACACCTTTTGTCAACTCTTTAAACAGTCAGCTATGTAAAGTGTTGACCCTGGGAAAATATACATATATTTATACATTTATATTACATGTACCTGTACTTCATTGAATGTGCTGTGTGTATTTTCGGTATATTTCACCTATGATACATACAAGGCACTTGGAAACATTAAAAAATACTGATAATAATAATTGAAAATCTTAATGTGCAAACGAAGATAAAAAATGATATCAGATGCTGGCCTGCAGTAGGTAGGCCATAGTCTAACATTAACCCTTTGAGCATATGTAGACTACTAGACTTCATATGTAAATTCACCTCTGTCCTATTTGTACTTCCTATGTTACCTCAATATGGGAACCTGAATTTTCAGGTTTTTCCAATCAAACTTACAGTTCCAGGTTTGTAACAAAATGTAATTGGCATGGTGGAGTTGCACATTGTTACATTATACTTACAAAGACTAAATATTCTTTTGAGTGATTTGTCTGTAAATTAATACAAATAATGAAGCTATTGTAAGTACTATACAGTTATGTACACACTTTTCTGTTTACATTGGGCCTACTTATCTAATCAAAAAAACCTGGATCAAATAGAAATCCCTAACTTGGCCAATAATACTGGATGCCAGGTAAGGCGTGCAGATCAAATAACAATTTCCTACCTTGTGTTGGATAAGCTATTAGCAAATATTACTTTTATGAGGTTTGTCGGCTTTATTGAGAAACGTCTGTTGCACAAAGGGTTAATACGTCATCCTTGGGTTTGTAGATCCTGATATAGGATCCTTGTCTTTGGATGCGTCCCAAATGGCACCCTGTTCCCTTTGTAGTGCACTACTTTTGACCAGGGCTCTGGTCAAAAGTAGTGCACTATATAGGGAATAGGGTACCATTTGGGACGTACATTTTGTCACTGAGTTACGAAACAGCATTGGTCATAAAATGGCAGTTAGATGCTGTAGAGAGAGGAGGAACAACTTCAACATTCAATAGAAATGTCTCGTCTTAACCAGAAAGACAAATAAAACTTTCTTACTTGTTTGCAGATGTGATGAAAGACACAGAGATGTCATACCTTTACAGACTTGAGAGGGGGAGGGGTTATGTAGATGCAGATAGATTCAGACTGTAGTTTGACAAGGCTTCAATAACCCTTTAGTTCGTACCAAAGATTTCCACTGATTACCTTGTAATCTCGAGAGCCTATTCCCTACAGGGTATTTTAAAGGCTGTTTGTTGTTGTGACCACACCAGATTTAATCCATTTGTAGGATAAAAAAATACACAATAGGTTATTTTAAGCTTAATTCATTCAAAGTTATTGAATTTGATCGTCAGTCATACAAAGATTAGTGTGCGACTAAAATAGTACCCTATTCCCGTTACAGTGCACTACTTTTTAGGGAATACCATACAAGGAAGGGTGCCATTTCAGATGCAGCCTAGGTGTGTGAAGCCTCTGCAGGTCAAGTAGGTTGGTTGGTTGAGGGGAGAGGAAGGTGCGGGTCATTGTCTTGTCAGCTAAACATCATAGCCTTTCTTAGCCAAACCACACCTCTGTCGTCCTGCCAACCAACCTTACAACTATGCAGGTGGCAGTCACATGACAACAGAACTAAATACCACATTCTTAGCTCAGAGGACCCCAGGGGAACCGGGTAATATGAGTGAAGGCTACGCCTAACCCTGCCTGTGTAAAAATCTAAACAAACTAACAAACATAGGCAAATTCTAAACTTCCACTTACATTTGAACTTAGTCTCCCATTGACATTAACGTTTGACTAAAGTGGAAGTTAGAATCCACCCCAAAAGACGCATGTAGAATGTAGTTTGACATCCGACTGGTTTTCCCAGACTGTGCTTGCCCTGTAGTGTGTACCACATACATCCGACTGGTTTTCCCAGACTGTGCTTGCCCTGTAGTGTGTACCACATACATCCGACTGGTTTTCCCAGACTGTGCTTGCCCTGTAGTGTGTACCACATACATCCGACTGGTTTTCCCAGACTGTGCTTGCCCTGTAGTGTGTACCACATACATCCGACTGGTTTTCCCAGACTGTGCTTGCCCTGTAGTGTGTACCACATACATCCGACTGGTTTTCCCAGACTGTGCTTGCCCTGTAGTGTGTACCACATACATCCGACTGGTTTTCCCAGACTGTGCTTGCCCTGTAGTGTGTACCACATACATCCGACTGGTTTTCCCAGACTGTGCTTGCCCTGTAGTGTGTACCACATACATCCGACTGGTTTCCCAGACTGTGCTTGCCCTGTAGTGTGTACCACATACATCCGACTGGTTTTCCCAGACTGTGCTTGCCCTGTAGTGTGTACCACATACATCCGACTGGTTTTCCCAGACTGTGCTTGCCCTGTAGTGTGTACCACATACATCCGACTGGTTTTCCCAGACTGTGCTTGCCCTGTAGTGTGTACCACATACATCCGACTGGTTTTCCCAGACTGTGCTTGCCCTGTAGTGTGTACCACATACATCCGACTGGTTTTCCCAGACTGTGCTTGCCCTGTAGTGTGTACCACATACATCCGACTGGTTTTCCCAGACTGTGCTTGCCCTGTAGTGTGTACCACATACATCCGACTGGTTTTCCCAGACTGTGCTTGCCCTGTAGTGTGTACCACATACATCCGACTGGTTTTCCCAGACTGTGCTTGCCCTGTAGTGTGTACCACATACATCCGACTGGTTTTCCCAGACTGTGCTTGCCCTGTAGTGTGTACCACATACATCCGACTGGTTTTCCCAGACTGTGCTTGCCCTGTAGTGTGTACCACATATTTCCACTGATTACCTTGTAGCTTCAGTAGCCTATTCCCTCCAGGGGATTTTAAAGGCTGTTTGTTGTTGTGAGTCTAGAGACTGAGTAGAGGGGGAGGAAGGAGAATAAAGTTGGCCCTAGACACTGATCTAAGGTCAGTTTTGCATTTTCCCATCTAATGGTTGAGGATGGTAAGCTGACCCTAGATCTGTGCCTACAGACAACTTCTACACAGAACAATTGAGTTCTGATGTGAGGCTAGAAAGATTACAGACAGAATTTACCTGACTCTCTACATCCCCCTAGTGGCCACAACAGGTAAAGACACTGATATAAAACCCGCTGTTATAGTGACTATCCAAACTAACAGTGGCTGTTATCGGTTATAATCCATAGGGTCTGTGCTGCATACAAATAATGACTGTATCAAAACATACAGGAGCATATTACTTCAATTCTCTCAATAAGAGCTGCTTCTTATTTACATCATAATGGTGACTAAATAACTCCAACTGCGTTGTCACACAATTCAATTTGGAATGTCAATTAGGGATGTACATTGGGAAAAGTCCATTGAAAAAGTCCATAGGGAATGTTTGAGATACATTTCCATAGTTTTTGTAGTTGTTTTCTTCAGCCTGCTTTTACTGTTTAGTGTTGGAATGATCAGAGTTTTTTTTTTTTTCATGTCTTTAAAGGAGAATTACCTTTGACCCCCACGCAGCTTTTAAAAAGCCCCTAACCCTCCCCATCCACACACACACACACCAACTGTCAGCTCCGAGGCATCGTTTAGACACAAACACACACACACAAACTTACACACACACCCTGTCCCTTGATCGTAGCAACAGACGTGTGAGCACGGGTCCCAAGCTGAACACACTCACACATACACACACACACCCTGGCCCTAGCTGACAACAGCTGGTTTGAGCACCAGCGCCCCAGGGGATTGAATCACCACCCAGGAGGGGAGGTCACGCCCTGCCCCCGTCCCTCCGTACCCTCCCACAGACAAATTCAGTACCTCATCCTCCCTCTCCCTGTCCTCTTCACACCCCCCCTCCTCCTCCCCCCCCCTCCTGCTCTCCCCTCTCCCTAGCTGCCCCAGACCCATGGAAGCCAACCCAAACACGGATGCAGCCGAGAGTCCGAACGGGAGCATGGAAGAATCACACCAACCCAATCCCCCACCTCCACCACCTAGCGAGAATAAGGACGCTCCAGGGTGACCTAGTCCGCTTAGATCCAGGGGGCCACACAGGGCCGAGAGGGGCAGCGAGGCCCCCAGACGGTGGCCTCCGAGAAGAGAAGCCACGGCGGCCCCTCCTGGGATGATAATATGGGCCCCGCCGACATAGCCCATCTCTGAGACCCCTCCACCGTTACTTCCATGGAGACCACCCCCTTTGAGGAACACCCCGAGCCCAGCCGAGGAGGCCTGTTCCTGGGTCGCGACGAAGTGTCCGTGGGCCTTGATGTGTTTGCGGAGGGAGCTGGGGTCGGTGTAGCGTTTAAGGCAGCCGGCCATCTTGCAGTAGTAGGGCTTGTCCACGTAGTGTGTGCGCGTGTGCTTGAAGCGGTCGCTGGAGTTGGAGTAGCGCTTGCTGCAGCCCTCGTACGGACAGATGTACGGCTTCTCTCCTGGGAGAGGGAGAGAGGAGAGAAGGATGGATGGATGGAAGAAGGAGTGAGGATGTGCATTTTCTTGTCAACTGACAGATCTTCAGATTTTGGAATGCATATGGTATTAGCATTTCTTCTTGGACAGGTATGCCAGAAAAGCATCACAGATTATATGCCTGTGTGTGTGCGACATGCATGCATGTCTTTAATCTGACCCGAAGTATCCCGCAACCACAAGAAAAAAAAACACTGCGAGAGGTTCTGACAAAGAGACATAACAGCACAGCGGACTCTTACCCCCGCGGTTTCCTAACCCCGCGAGGCAGCCTTTAGAGGGGAAATAAACAGCTGTTCTTTAGCAAAAACAATCAAACTGACCTGTGTGTGTGTGTGTGTGTGTGTGTACTGACCTGTGTGTGAGCGTGTGTGTATCTTGAGGTTCTCCAGGCGAGAGAAGCTCTTGTTGCAGGTGGGGCAGTGGTGAGGCTTCTCATTGGTGTGAGTCCTGATGTGGATCAACATCTTGTACCTGGGGGGAATACACACACACACACACACACACACACACACACACACACACACACACACACACACACACACACACAGAGTGAATAAAGCTTTAAACACTTACAGTGAGGGAAAAAAGTACTTGATCCCCTGCTGATTTTGTACGTTTGCCCACTGACAAAGACATGATCAGTCTATAATTTTAATGGTAGGTTTATTTGAACAGTGAGAGACAGAATAACAACAAAAAAATCCAGAAAAACGCATGTAAAAAATGTTATAAATTGATTTGCATTTTAATGAGGGAAATAAGTATTTGACCCCTCTGCAAAACATGACTTAGTACTTGGTGTCAAAACACGTGTTGGCAATCACAGAGGTCAGACGTTTCTTGTAGTTGGCCACCAGGTTTGCACACATCTCAGGAGGGATTTTGTCCCACTCCTCTTTGCAGATCTTCTCCAAGTCATTAAAGTTTCGAGGCTGACGTTTGGCAACTCGAACCTTCAGCTCCCTCCACAGATTTTCTATGGGATTAAGGTCTGGAGACTGGCTAGGCCACTCCAGGACCTTAATGTGCTTCTTCTTGAGCCACTCCTTTGTTGCCTTGGCTGTGTGTTTTGGGTCATTGTCATGCTGGAATACCCATCCACGACCCATATTCAATGCCGTGGCTGAGGGAAGGAGGTTCTCACCCAAGATTTGACGGTACATGGCCCCGTCCATTGTCCCTTTGATGCGGTGAAGTTGCCCTGTCCCCTTAGCAGAAAAACACCCCCAATGCATAATGTTTCCACCTCCATGTTTGACGGTGGGGATGGTGTTCTTGGGGTCATAGGCAGCATTCCTCCTCCTCCAAACACGGCGAGTTGAGTTGATGCCAAAGAGCTCGATTTTGGTCTCATCTGACCACAGCACTTCCACCCAGTTCTCCTCTGAATCATTCAGATGTTCATTGGCAAACTTCAGACGGCCCCGTATATGTGCTTTCTTGAGCAGGGGAACCTTGCGGGCGCTGCAGGATTTCAGTCCTTCACGGCGTAGTGTGTTACCAATTGTTTTCTTGGTGACTATGGTCCCAGCTGCCTTGAGATCATTGACAAGATCCTCCCGTGTAGTTCTGGGCTGATTCCTCACCGTTCTCATGATCATTGCAACTCCACGAGGTGTGATCTTGCATGGAGCCCCAGGCCAAGGGAGATTGACAGTTATTTTGTGTTTCTTCCATTTGCGAATAATCGCACCAACTGTTGTCACCTTCTCACCAAGCTGCTTGGCGATGGTCTTGTAGCCCATTCCAGCCTTGTGTAGGTCTACAATCTTGTCCCTGACATCCTTGGAGAGCTCTTTGGTCTTGGCCATGGTGGAGAGTTTGGAATCTGATTGATTGATTTCTTCTGTGGACAGGTGTCTTTTATACAGGTAACAAGCTGAGATTAGGAGCACTCCCTTTAAGAGTGTCCAGAAAAACGCATGTCACAAATGTTGAATTGAATTGATTTGCATTTTAATGAGGGAAATAAGTATTTGACCCCCTCTCAATCAGAAAGATTTCTGTCTCCCAGGTGTCTTTTATACAGGTAACGAGCTGAGATTAGGAGCACACTCTTAAAGGGAGTGCTCCTAATCTCAGCTTGTTACCTGTATAAAAATCACCTGTCCACAGAAGAAATCAATCAATCAGATTCCAAACTCTCCACCATGGCCAAGACCAAAGAGCTCTCCAAGGATGTCAGGGACAAGATTGTAGACCTACACAAGGCTGGAATGGGCTACAAGACCATCGCCAAGCAGCTTGGTGAGAAGGTGACAACAGTTAGTGCGATTATTCGCAAATGGAAGAAACACAAAATAACTGTCAATCTCCCACGGCCTGGGGCTCCATGCAAGATCTCACGTCGTGGAGTTGCAATGATTATGAGAACGGTGAGGAATCAGCCCAGAACTAAATGGGAGGATCTTGTCAATGATCTCAAGGTAGCTGGGACCATAGTCACCAAGAAAACAATTGGTAACACACTACGCCGTGAAGGACTGAAATCCTGCAGCGCCCGCAAGGTCCCCCTGCTCAAGAAAGCACATATACAGGCCCGTCTGAAGTTTGCCAATGAACATCTGAATGATTCACAGGAGAACTGGGTGAAAGTGTTGTGGTCAGATGAGACCAAAATCGAGTTCTTTGGCATCAACTCAACTCGCCGTGTTTGGAGGCGGAGGAATGCTGCCTATGACCCCAAGAACACCATCCCCACCGTCAAACATGGAGGTGGAAACATTATGCTTTGGGGGTGTTTTTCTGCTAAGGGGACAGGACAACTTCACCGCATCAAAAGGGACGATGGACGGGGCCATGTACCGTCAAATCTTGGGTGAGAACCTCCTTCCCTCAGCCAGGGCATTGAAAATGGGTCGTGGATGGGTATTCCAGCATGACAATGACCCAAAACACACAGCCAAGGCAACAAAGGAGTGGCTCAAGAAGAAGCACATTAAGGTCCTGGAGTGGCTCTGTAAGTGGTGAAAATACACTGAGTGTACAAAACATTAAGAACACCTTCTTGCCCTCAGAACAGCCTCAATTCGTCGGGAAATGGACTCTACAAGGTGTCAAAAGCGTTCCTCAGAGATGCTGGCCCATGTTGACTCCAATGCTTCCCACAATTGTGTCAAGTTGGCTGGATGTCCTTTGGGTGGTGGACCATTCTTGATACACACGGGAAACTGTTGAGCGTGAAAAACCCAGCAGCGTTGCAGTTCTTGACACCCTCAAACCGGTGCGCCTGGCACCTACTACCGTACCCTGTACAAAGGCAATTAAATATTTTGTCTTGCCCATTCACCCTCTGAATTGCACACATACACAATCCATGTCTCCCTTTCATCTACACTGATTGAAGTGGATTTAACAGGTGACATCAATAAGGGATCATAGCGTTCACCGGGATTCACCTTGTCAGTCTATGTCATGAAAGAGCAGGTGTTCATAATGTTTGTTACACTCAGTGTATGTCTTTATAGTAATTTGTTACTTTTAAATCTGATCAGGGGCACCTTTTATATCTGAAGATCAGAGACCCTGATACCTAGACTCTAAGAATAAGCCCCTCCTACCTGGCGTTGAAGCCCCTCCCATTGCGGGCACAGCCCTCCCAGTGGCAGCAGTACCCAGAATCCTTTTCAGGTTTGACATGGTAGTCATTGATGTGATCCACCAGGTCCTGTAACGAGTCAAACAGCAGGTGGCACTAGAGAGGAGAGAGAGGGAGGAAGAGAGGGATGAGGGAGAGGTCGAGAGAGAGAAAAGGGAAAGAGTCCATTTAGACTAGAGCATTTCAGGTAAGTGAACTGGAGCTGAGCATATAACATATGCTGTATATGTTCCATAGAAGGAGAAAAGTCATACTCATACTTCCACACATTTGAAGTACATGCTGACAGTTGTCGCAGTGCAATTCAGATAGTAATGTGTTATGAATCGATGGATGGATGTTCATTTGTCGGAAGCCTTATGAGTGTGTGAGTACAAAGCAAATACAGGTATAAACAGTAAACTGTTGAAAAGAGTTTTGCAACGTTGAGATTCTGAATGCACCCCAGGGTACTCTCTCCTGTCCACACACACCCACCCTCTCCTGTCCACCTGTCAATCGCATACCTTCATCCAATGGCAGGCCAGCTGCTCATCCGATGAGGGATCGGGTGACGCCCGCTTCTCCCCGGGCTGACCAATGAACATGGAGGAGGGCAGGTTGAACCCGCCCCCTGTGGTCCCGATTGGCAGGAAGATCTGGAAGCCCTGCGGAGAAGCCCCACCATCCAGGTAACGAGGGTGAGCTGCTTCCTGAGAGAGAGAGAGAGAGAGAAGAGTGATGAGTTGAATTGCGCAATAGAACGCCATGTGTCAACTAAGGGCACAGTCCCTCTGTCTGCCTGTCTGTCCAGCTGTCTGCCCATCTGTCTGTCTGTCCGTCTGTCTGTCCGTCTTTTACCCCTCCAGCCTTGTTTAAAATCTGATTAAGTGAGAACCACAGTGCAGACACCGTGCTGGGAAATTAGATTCACTACAGGTTTAATTCACTTCTGTCCACTATGTGTTGAGTGTATTCACTAATCAGCTATCCCACATTCTGGCCAGACTGCCTGCCACGCTTAGACACACGCACACACACTACCTAAGTTGAACCTCTGTACTAAGAAGAGCTATAGAGAGAACTCTCTTTTCTCTTACAAATTTTTTTTCCCCCCTTCAGACGGAAAATAGGTCAGGGAGTTCAGTTATGTGTTAAGTAAAAATGTCACCATGAAATTGTTTCAAATGTTTCTCACACCAGTGGCCGTATTCACAAAGCATCTCAGAGTAGGAGTGTTCATCTAGGATCAATTCTGCCTTTTAAATCATAATGATTAAGAGAGAGGACCTGATCCTAGATCAGTACTCCTCCTCTAAGTGGCTTTGTGAATACAGGCCCAAGTTTGTTACATAACCATGTGTTTGATGTATTTGATACCATTCCACTTACTGCGCTCCAGCCATTACCATGAGCCCGTCCTCCCCAATTAAGGTGCCACCAACCTCCTGTGGCACGCACACACACACACACACACTGCCTCTATCTGGCTTACCCTGGAGTAGATGGGTGTGGCTGGGCTGCAGCTGGGTGGATAGTCCAGGGGTGAGGAGGGGGAGGCAGAGGGGGAGGGTGCATGGCGGGAGGAGGGGGAGGGTGCGTGTCGGAAGGAGGGGGAGAGACTCAGGTCCATGGCAGGGGGGGTGCAGGAACCTGCCCTCTCCTGGTGGGACAGGGGGGTACCTGGCGGGGGGAGAGGGGGTGAGGTCACACACAAGAGCCATGTATAGTACATATGAGCAACACACACACACACACACACACAGCTTCATACAAAGTCAAATAAATTAACTTTACACAAACACTCTCTCTTTTCTCTCAGCATTGGTTAGCGAGGCTATAGTTGGTTAGCGAGGCTATCGTTGGTTAGCGAGGCTATCGTTGGTTAGCGAGGCTATCATTGGTTAGCGAGGCTATCGTTGGCATAATACTAAGTTTTCAGCAGCAGTCTGCAGTGCCACTCTGTTGTCCATAATGACACACACACACACACACACACACACACACACACACATTCTCACACTCCATAACGACATGTTAAGTGTATACAGCAGTTGGTAATGAGAGGAGCATGATGTTGATTTGAGACGTGGACTCAGTCCCAAATGGTACCTTTCCCTATAAAGTGCACTACTTTTAACCAGAGCCATATGGGCCAAGTGCACTGTAAAGGGAATAGGGTGCCACTTGGGACGCAGTTATGGACTCACTGGCCTCTAAGACAACGAGAAATGAATAGAGGGAATTGTGTGTGTGTGGTGGGGGGTAGTGTGTGTTTGTGAGAGAGAGAGAGAGAGAGAAGGAAAATAGACAAAAAGAGAGTGTGTTTGTAAAAAATTGATAGAGAGGGAGAGAGAGAGTGTGTTTACCTGGAGAGGGAGGCGGTGATGGGTAGGTCATCGGTAGGTTACGTAGCAGACGTTGTCGTGTGGCACTGAGAGGGGCGCAGATGGAGGCAGAATACGCCCTCTTTCCCAACCTGACCCTCCCATTGGCCCGTGGAAGCTTCAGGTCCAGAGGCTCATCCAATGACAGCATGGCAGCTACAGTATTCCAGAACACCTGTAGAGAAGAGCCAATCATAATGCTCGTTAGTGAAAGCCATGAACAATCAAAGAATAACAAACAATCACATTTCCAACTAGTAGGACAGAAGTTTTTCTAACCATCTTACATGACTAGGAACAACTCTGGTCTTTCCTTTAACTGTTCCCTAGTCAGATCAGCTGATCAGGAACAACTCTGGTCTTTCCTTTAACTATTCCCTAGTCAGATCAGCTGATCAGGAACAACTCTGGTCTTTCCTTTAACTATTCCCTAGTCAGATCAGCTGATCAGGAACAACTCTGGTCTTTCCTTTAACTATTCCCTAGTCATATCAGCTGATCAGGAACAACTCTGGTCTTTTCTTTAACTATTCCCTAGTCAGATCAGCTGATCAGGAACAACTCTGGTCTTTCCTTTAACTATTCCCTAGTCAGATCAGCTGATCAGGAACAATTCTTGGGTCCATTTTTCAATCTTTTATCCAACTTCAAATAAACCCCAATAGCCCCACTTCTGCACTCCTTTAGATCTGAATAGAGTGTATAGAATTGTAATCATATAGCTAAGTATTATGGTATGGTACTCCTACAGCTAAGTATTATGGTATGGTAATCCTATAGCTAAGTATTATGGTATGGTATGGTAATCATATAACTAATTATTATGGTATGGTAATCCTATAGCTAAGTATTATTGATGGTAATCCTATAGCAAAGTATTTTGATATGGTATGGTAATCCTATAGCTAAGTATGTTGGTATGGTATGGTAATCCTTTAACTAAGTATTATGGTATGGTAATCCTACAGCTAAGTATTATGGTATGGTAATCCTATAGCTAAGTATTATGGTATGGTAATCCTTTAGCTAATTAGTATTGCATGGTATGGTAATCCTATAGCTAAGTATTATGGTATGGTAATCCTATAGCTAAGTATTATGGTATGGTAATCCTATAGCTAAGTATTATGGTATGGTAATCCTATAGCTAAGTATTATGGTATGTTACTGGGCATGAATACAATAGCGTGACCCAGATCCAAACTGCTTTTCCTCAGTAGCCACAGGCAATTAACTGTAACATTGAGACATGGCTCTCTGTGCATATTTCCATCAACTGAGTGGGACTGGGTTTGTTCAGAAGCTACTCTCTCACACGCAACAAGAGCTTTCACACACGTTACGTACACACACACATTACGTACACACATTACATACACACACATTATATACACACACATTACAAACACACACGTTACATACACACGTTACATACACACACATTATATACACACACATTACAGACACACACACACGTTACATACACACATTACATACACACACGTTACATACACACACGTTACACATACGCAAATGTTGCACACGCACTAGAGCTTTTGCACACACACATTTGTTACACAACAAAAACCCTAGCACACACGCACATCATGTTACACACACACACAGAAGCCTTTACACACACACACGGAAGCCTTTACAAACACACACACAGAAGCCTTTACACACACACACACACACAGAAGCCTTTACACACACACACAGAGAAGCCTTTACACACACACACATGGGTTTAAGACACGGAATGTAAATACACTACAGCAAATTAAAGTATTTCAACATTTTCTTACGCAAGGTGCAAAACAATGTTCGAGACCATAACAAAGACACACACACAGTTTATCAAGGATGTGACAGCCACACAAACATATTGATCAACAATGCCTTTTGTCAAATATCAGAACAGTTAGATGAAGTGAAGAGCTGGATATAGGGAGAGTGAGGGGATGGATATAGGGAGGGTGAGGGGCTGGATATAGGGAGGGTGAGGGGCTGGATATAGGGAGGGTGAGGGGCTGGATATAGGGAGGGTGAGGGGCTGGATATAGGGAGGGTGAGGGGCTGGATATAGGGAGGGTGAGGGGCTGGATATAAGGAGGGTGAGGGGCTGGATATAGGGAGAGTGAGGGGCTGGATATAGGGAGGGTGAGGGGCTGGATATAGGGAGGGTGAGGGGCTGGATATAGGGAGAGTGAGGGGCTGGATATAGGGAGGGTGAGGGGCTGGATATAGGGAGAGTGAGGGGCTGGATATAGGGAGGGTGAGGGGCTGGATATAGGGAGGGTGAGGGGCTGGATATAGGGAGGGTGAGGGGCTGGATATAGGGAGGGTGAGGGGCTGGATATAGGGAGGGTGAGGGGCTGGATATAGGGAGGGTGAGGGGCTGGATATAGGGAGGGAGAGGGGCTGGATATAGGGAGGGTGAGGGGCTGGATATAGGGAGGGTGAGGGGCTGGATAAAGGGAGGTTGAGGGGCTGGATGAGTGGGGGGATGAATACAGGGCAGAGTATGTGTTTGTTCGCCCCCATATACTTCCTCACTGAGCCATGGGGTCAGCTGCTCTTTGTAGAACCCCCTCTCTGCTTCTCTCAGAGAAGCCTTTGTCCCCTCTACCTCCCATAGAGAAACAGACTGGGACAGTGTGCTGTGTGTCTGAATGAGACAACTTTGTTCCCCTTGGGCCTCCCATGTTGAACACACATCTACACTCCCATCTACACTAACATATACACTCCCATCTACACTAACATCTAAACTACCATCTACATTCCCATCTAAACTCCCATCTACACTCCTATCTACACTCCTATCTACACTCCCATCTAAACTCCCATCTACACTCCCATCTAAACTCCCATCTAAACTACCATCTACATTCCCATCTAAACTCCCATCTACACTCCCATCTACACTCCCATCTAAACTACCATCTACATTCCCATCTAAACTCCCATCTACACTCCCATCTACACTCCCATCTAAACTCCCATCTACACTCCCATCTAAACTCCCATCTAAACTCCCATCTACACTCCCATCTACACTCCCATCTAAACTCCCATCTACACTCCCATCTACACTCCCATCTACACTAAAGTTTACACATGCATCCGCTCACGCTCGTCTCAACAAGCACACTTGCTTTCTCTCTGTCTTTCATCCTATTCCTCTAGTAAATGTGCACTTACACACACACACACACACACACACACACACTGTCCCATTTTCTCATAGGCTCAGACACACACACGTCAGCAACTCCCTGTCCAGTACAGTGGTTCTGTGAAAGAGAACCACAAGTCTGTTAGGGCTGCTAAACGCTAGTGGAAGACCAGGGGAAGATCCACCCAGTCTCACAGCATGCTGCGAAGAGTACACGTCTGACCTGTCAATCAAACGCTCACTTAAGATGCCCCACACACACACACACACACACACACACACACACACACACACACACACTCATACTCTATGCACACACACACACACACACTCATACTCGATACACACACACACACACACACACACACACACACTGTATGAACACACACACACACTGTATGCATTGCACACACAAATATGTACGTACACACTTGCATATACGCACACACACACACACACACACACACACACACACACACACACCTGCCCTTTCCAGAGTCAGCAAAAAAGCTTTGACCCAGTGAACTCCTTATTGAGTGTCAAATCCTGACTCCAGATGTATGTGAGTAACTGTGTGAGGTCAGAGTCTAACACGGATCTGTCAATGACATCAGTGTGTAGCTGAAGCTCCGACAGAAGAGGTCAGTAACAGTTGGTTCAGGTGCTGGTCAGGGGGACGTCACTATACTACACTAGCTACAACCAGCTTCAAAACAACACACACACACACACAGTTTCACCTTTAATTCACGAAGGCAGCATTTTCATCTACTAACCTCTTTCATTAAAGCTTTCCTCATCAGCTACACATTAATGTCAATGAAGGGTAACAGGGGCCATTGGCGACATAAGGTCTACTCAGTGATATGAACACATTTTTACAGTAAACCCACTGAACTGGATAAGTGTAAACCTGTTGGGATACACACTGCAATTATATAATACAGACAAGATCCTCACCACAATGAAGTCAGGGTTACAGTTAGTTACACACACACACACGGTACACACACCCAGTAGACATACAGTACACACACACACACACACTTCTCACTGCGTGCCAACTCGCCACAGTGGCTCTGCATTCCATAAGAACCTCCCTAACTTCTCACACACACTGCTATTCAGAGTATTGTTGAGGCATGCACATATACCACCATATGTATGCAGATACACACACACACTAGCAGGCACGCACACACACGCACACACACACCACACACACACACACACACACACCACGCACACACACACACACACCACACACACACCACACACACACACACACCACACACACACACCACGCACACACACACACACCACACACACCAACCACACACACACCACACACACACCACACACACACCACGCACACACCACGCACACACCACACACACACACACACACCACACACACACCACACACACACACAGTTCCCCCTTCCTCTCCCTCTTTTCCTCAATGACCTCCCTTTGGGCAGAATGCCCAGGCCCCCTTACTGATCCCCCGCCCAACAAACACACACACACACACACTGCACCACAGGCAGCCTCAGCAGACCCCCCTCTATACCTCTTAGCTCCAGAGTACAGTATGTCACACACACACACACACACACACACACACACACACACACACACACACCCTGACATGAGAGATTCTTTCCTCCTCAGACAGGAAACCTCCGTTTCCACGGCGCCCTGAGCTGGCCACTCCCTCCTCCATACACGCCTCTCCCTTGCCCTATTTCACTCCTTCTCTCTCTCTCCCTTCTCTCTCTCTCTCCTTCCTGTGGCGTTCCTTTCCTCTGTATCGTACCCCCTTAAGCCTCTCCCTTGCCCTCTTTCACTCCTTCTCTCACTCTCCCTTCTCTCTCTCTCTCCTTCCTGTGGCGTTCCTTTCGTCTGTATTGTACCCCCTTAAGCCTCTCCCTTGCCCTCTTTCACTCCTTCTCTCTCCCTCCCTTCTCTCTCTCTCTCCTTCCTGTGGCGTTCCTTTCCTCTGTATCGTACCCC